GCCCCGGCCGCCATTGTCCTGCAGGTCCCGGCGTGGGAGAGGGGAGCAGGAGGAGAGGGTACGGGCTGGCTAAGCCAGCACCCCTGAGAAAAATGTCTTTACATACTCAAAAATACTCAGTACTGCTTGAATGATGAAGGTAATGAGAGTGTCTGCACTGTCGGTTCTGAAAAGGAAATAAAGAAAACAACTGCAGCCGAATCTGTATTTGGAAAACCTGGCAGGTGTCGCACGGTGCTTCAGGTAACGGCGCAGGTAGTTCTTCCAGGCAAGGCGCAGCTTTCTCCCAGAGCCAGGCTCTGATTCTTCAAACGCTGGTGCACAGGCGACCTCAGCAATGGCACGGGCTCTGACTTCACTGTGACCACTCCTGTGCGTGGGTGAATGCCGCAGGGAACGCGCGGAACAGGGAGAGATGCTACAAAGCAAGGGGCAGTTGCTCTGGGCTGCAAAGGAAGCAGTGTTCTGTTAGACAGTAGCCTAGAAAGCACTTGCTGTAATTGCTAGAGAACCATCTAGTTCTGTTTCTTGATGTATCTCTGTTATAAAACAGTCTGTAGCCAGCATTTAATTATGTTGCAGCACACTAGCCTCTTAGCTCTTGGGACTTCTATTGTCTGTTTCTTCCAGCTACTTCCAAGCTAAGCAAAAGAAGACGCTAGCTGAAAAGGAACTGTGGAGTATGTTATTGGGATGTGTTACCTCACTAGCTGATAGCCCTTGCGACACCATGATATGATCAGCAATTTTTATGTCAGTTTCTGGATACAGCACAGACTGCTTCAAGATCTGGACCCGCAGGGCATCTCCTGTAAGGAGTCAGGTGGATGGCTCTTCTTGGAAACATGGGGTGAAATATTCTTTTCACTCTGACCTTTGTCTCAGACCATGGTACCTAGGCTGGGGACCTTCAGTAGCAAAACTACTAATTTACTCCAAATATATTGGAGATCCTGTTTGACACCTGTTATGGTCCCTGGGAATAGTTCCAGTGAGGGCAGCGCAGACCCCTGGGTAATGCTGTTAGTGAGGGGCTGGAGTGGGAAGTTTCAGATGCAGCGGATCTTGCACTTTGGAGTGGTTTTGCTGCAAAACTAGTGCTTCAGGTGCATCTCTGGCTCTTCAGATGAAACTACAGAATGCGGACAATATTTTTTTCTTCTATTTAAATGCAGAAAGCATTTTAGCAGTTGAGCTTGTGAGGAAAAACTCTGTAGGATGCTTGTCCGAACAGACTTTAACTGATGTTTCCTGTCTCCCAGCCTCCAAGCAGAGTATGTAATACCAATAAGCAAACCTATTGTGTACTTGTTTCAGGCTATTTTGGCCCAGATCAAGGTGCTATGATTACTTGTATCAGGAAGCTGAAGCACTTCTGAAAAACTTCCCAGTTCAAGCTACAATTTCCTTTTATGAAGACTCGGATAGTGAAGATGATGAAGATGAACTGGAACAAGATTCAAGAACAGAATCAGACTGCTGATTGCAGGAAAGGCCAAGGACTTCTAAGACTTAATTTAAACTTAATATAAAAAATGTATTATATTATTTTAAAAGATAATTTATTTGTAAGTTATTCTTAATAAAACTGAAATGTTTTGTAATTTTATCTGAGCCTTTTTGCTTTGTTCTATTCCTGTCCTGTTTCACGCAGGGAAGTTATTGATTAGTGGCTTTTATCTAAGGTCCTGTGTTTTGTAGACCATAACTTGGGCATCAATTTTAGGAGCAGAGAATGGATGTCTTGCTTTAAAGGGCTCTGTGTGACTTCCTCAAAGTCTTAGGACACAAGGAAAGCTTTTTTAGTTGTGGTTTATTAGGCTCCGTGTGGAAACATACGAAGGAATTGTTGGATTAAGCATTCCAAGGCTGTGCCTGCTGTTAGAAGGGACTTTCAAAGGTGGGAAAGAGAACAATATAGCTGTTTTCCAGATGGAGGGGAGGGTCCAAATCCTACTCTAGGCTTTGCTTTTGGAGAAGGGGTTTGCCTTTAGTCTGGAGAAGGCTGAGAGGAGACCTTCTCATGCTCTACAACTACCTGAAAGGAGGTTGCAGTGGGGGGGGGAGGTGTTGGTTTCTTCTCCCAAGTAACTAGCGATAGGACAAGGGGAAATTGCCTCAAGTTGTGTCAGGGGAGGTTTAGATTGGATATTAGGAAAAATTTCTTTAATGGAAAAGTGGTCAGGCACTGAAACAGGCTGCCCAGGGAGGTGGTGGAGTCCCCATCCCGGGAGGTGTTCAAAAAGCCTGTGGATATGGCACTTTGGAACATGGTTTAGCAGGCATGGTGGTGATGGGTTGATGGCTGGACTTCATCTTAGAGGTCTTTTCCAGCCTTAGTGATTCTGTAAGTCATTCATGCCCTCTTTCATGAGGAAATGGCCCGATGTGAGTTGTTTTGACCGTGAGGTCGTTTCTGAGAACAGAAGCAAGGTTTGGATCCT